GGCACTGTGAGGTCTGGGATCCCCAATACTGATTAGTCACTTTGACTCATCCCTCTTTACCTAAACATTGTGTAATTATAATTGTTTTTCAAGAAAACAAAGAGTTGCTGAAGGAAGACTCCTGTTGACTCAGACAATAACACGTCAGGGACTCATGGTTCTAAACAGGGAGAATGTTGTGTATGGATATTGTAGTAGCAGCCATGGCTTTGTTACCGAGAAAACTCTGTTAATTTAAAGGGCATCTTGGCTAATATATCCAAATTTTACTCAGCTAAGAGGAGGCAGTGCCCAGACCTGATCATTAGATGACCTTGTGAGCAAGGTCAGGGGAGCCAAACAATATTTGACCAAATAGAATCACAGAAGATCCTGAGTTGGGAGGGACCCACAAATATCTTCAAGTCCAACTCCCGGCCCCACACAGGACATAACCAAAATCTCACCGTGTGCCTGAGAGCATTGTACAAATGGTCTTTGAGCTCTGGTTCAGGCTTTGGGCTGTGACCACTGCCCTGGGGAGCTATTCTAATGCCCAACCACTCTCTTGGAGAAAGATCTTTTCCTAAAATCTGACCTAAACCTCCCTTGACACAGCTCCAGCCATTCCCTCAGGTGCTGTCACTGGTCACCAGATAGCAAAAGCCAGTACTGCCCCTGTAAGTGACCAGGGCAAAACCAAGCTGTCCTATGAAGGGCAAGTGGTGTCCCAACACTTGCTTGCAAGCAAACTCTAGGAAGAAGTGAAAACTACAGCACTGTGCTCTGTAACTATCTCTGTACTACCACTGTGCTCTGTAACTACCACAGGAAACCAAATCCAAGTTTTTGTTAAAAAAAGACAATTTCATGTTAGTACTTCTTTAGCTGCGTTCTAAATGGTTGATTCAGCACTATAGTATTGTATAAACAAATCTGTTGAGCACTAAATAGTTTTGAATAATTGGATTTACTCTGGGAGATTGTGATAAAAGGTACTTCCATCTGTTCTCACCTTACTCAGAAGAAGGCAGCAATAATTTTTATTTTTTAGAAAATCCAATTTCTTTGGATTACTCCAAAGACATCCCAACACCTTTGGAATGTGGAACCTGGGAAGATCATCCCATTTCACAGAATCACAGAACAGTTTGAGCTGGAAGGGACTGTTAGGTTAGGTCTGAACAGTAACTTCTATTTGAGTTGTACTCAATTGCAGGTTAGTGAAGCTCACAATGTGAATTGTTGATCTTCAATCTGTTTTTGGGTCTAAGCCTCAAGAAACTTCACAAGCATCATCAAAATCCTATTAATTCCATATAAACCCTCAAGCAGAGACTGCTTTAGCAGCAGTCCTCACCTGGCCAAAGTGACACCAACTCATCATGGGGTTCCCTGGTCCTCATCCCTCAGTTCCCGTATGTCCCCCGGCACCATCTGGGACAGGTCACCTGCTGTGCCTTCTCTTGCTTGCTTTTGGAGACTTCCCACTCTTAGGAAGCTCCTTGAACACAGAAAGGAGCAAAAATTATAAATTGAGGAGGGGCAGAAAGGAGGGCAGGGAATCAGGTGGGACCCTGTGGGAAAAGATGTCCTGACATCCATGTTCTCTGCCCCACAGGCTGGGCTGCCCTGCACATCTCAGCCCAGCCTGCTCCTGCTCTAGGATAGGACTGATTTCCTCAGGCTCACCTCTGCTTCTCCAACAGGGCTGGCACTGTGCCCCTCTGGCCCTGGCACCAGGAAATTTGGTCCTATTGTTGGTTGACTGCTGTGAGGGATGAGTCTCAGCAGGGACAGCCTGGACACACACATAGATTTACAGCCAGAAGGGAAAACACTACCATCAGGAGGAAAACGGAAGTATGCTTCAAAATAAGATAAAATTGGCACCTCTGGAACAGTGATGGGAGAATGCAAAAAAGTTTGGTGTGCATTAGAACTCCCTGTGTCCTCTCCCACACAGCCTGGAGGGCTCAGCCCACTGTCAGCTGCTGAGCAACATGCATGAGAGTACCAAAATCTGCAGGCAGGAGAGTGAATTTACCTGTCTTGTGGATGACAAGGACGCAGCCTCAGGGCCAAGAGGGCTGCAGACTGTTTCAACAAGATGAATTGTGTATTTGCCCTGGTTTCATCCTGTGACATCTCTGCACACCTTAAAAATTCCCCCACTCTGTTTCCTCTGTCAGTCCTGGCTCTCCACCCTGGATACCCAGACATGAGCCAGCTGTGTGTGAACACACTAGAAAAACTCCCTCTGACTCCTTCCACTCAGATTCATTCCAAACTTTGCAAATTGGGCAGAACCTGCAGTGCTCTCCTTGGATGAGGAGAGACATGTCCCAACTGCTCCTGCAATGAGCAGGTTGGGAGCACGTCAGCTCCTGCTGCCAACGCTCCAGGGTTTGAGGCCTCACCAGCAGCCTGAGTCATTGCCACACCTGTGGTAACAGGTGGCCAAGGGGCCCATGGCACCGACCTAACCCACCTTAGCACTTTAAACCAACCAGTGGTTTTGTGGGATTTTATCTGGGTTTAAGCATTCAACAGCAGGGAGAAGCCTGACATGGAGAATAGCATGGCTTTTTATGTAGTGCTTGTAGCATTTGGAAAATTATCTTCTGAGTACTAAATATCTGAGTCATCCTGGAATAGCACTGCATCTACTTTTAGAGATTACCATGTGCTCTCCTCTGCCACAGTTCATGAGGAAAGAGTCTCTTAAACCATCAGGAAAAAAGCTCACGCTGCTGACTCTTCCTCTTCTCTCTCTGGGCTTTGGAAACTTCAGGGGAAACCGAAAGGGATTTTTATCCTCTTAATGTCAATTAGCTGAAAAGGTGAAATACCTTGTGATGAAGCCACAGTTGTTTTGAGAGTGCTCACTGTGTGGTGCCCATCCTGGCTTTTTCAGCAAAGCCCAGTTCCTGGAAGCCCAGCAGGATTCATGTGCCAGGGTTTGACCACCCTTATAAAGGTTAATATTTATCAGAAAGATCTTCCTCAGTCACCCTTCCTACAAGCCCACATGAGAAGAAAATTCCCTGTGCAGAAATTCCAGCTAACTTGGCAATGAGGGGAACAGGGCTGGGAGGAGACCTGAGGAGAGGCTGCAAATGCCCTGAATGGAGCACGGTAACAACGCCTGGGTGCTCAGGAGATACCCTGGCAGAGCAAGTCAGGCTGGTGGCACCAAGCTGGGGAGCTGCTGGTGGCACAGGGCATCATTCCCTGCCAGCCCCTCGGTGCTGCAGTGGCCGGTGGCAGGGGAAGCCTGGCAGTGAGGAGAGCAGAGCTCTCTGACACATCTCATTATTTAGTCCCCATCTCCTGCTTCACTGAGCTGAGCTCTGTGTCCCCACTGCAACCTGCCAAGGCACAAGGGGGCCAGACATGGTGCCCTGAGGAGGGTTGGACATGGTGGACCCTCATTCAGTGTGGGAGGCAGTTCCTGCACTAACAGCTCTCCATTCCTGTTCCCCCTCAGAGCAAGGATTCTGAATGCTTCGTGCTGAGTCAGGATAACTGCAATGCAGCACGATGGGAATCCCTCAAGGAGCTGCAGCCAGTGCCAGAGGCTCTGGCTGCTCCAGCCTTCAACCCATCGGCACTGGGTGTCCTGCCTTGCACTCTGCCTTGGAGCAAAGTGCTGCAGCTGTGTTTCAGTTCTCACAGTGCTCCAATGGAAACCCTCCTCATGTCCTGCCCCAGCTGCTCCCGGACCGTGCCAGTGGCACTTGGCTGCTGCCAAGGGACTCGGAGTAAGTGACACTCAGAGACTGAGCTGCATCCCACGGGTTAAAGCAGCTTGGCAGAACAGAGATCAGACATGGTGAAAACTGAGCACTGGGAAAGGGAGTTCTGGTCCCCTGTGAAGCTCCTTAGCAGGATTTCAGAGCCAGACTTGATGAAGCTTCAAGGAGATTGCCAGGACTGAGGGGATTCCCAGGATCAGCCCAGGCTCAGCGCAGAGGGGTGAGTGCCCCTCTCAGCTGCTTTTCAGGCATTTGCTTCTCTTCTTCCCTGGCTGAACTGACCCAGAACAACACCAGGGTCGCTGAGCTGCTTCATCTCAGCCCAAAACTGGGGTGAGACGTTGCAAGTCTGGGATTTTAGTTCAAGCCTGGGATCCTCAGTGGAAGCCTGTGGTGCCAGGCAGGTGTGAGCAGACATCCAGGGATTCCCATGCTCTGGAGCAGTGAAGAGGCAAGCACTGCCCCTTGAGATCATTCCAGACTGCCATGGATTAACTTGCAGCAGGAAGAGCCTGGGATGTGTCTGTGGGCAGTGAGGGGAGGGTAAAATTCCCTCTTCCCCCCACAGCTTCCTTGCACGGAAGAAGTGCGGGGGCACTTTTGCGTAGCACTCGCTTCAGAGAGCTTTAAATAGCTCCAAGCCAGAGAAAAAGATCATTTTCTAAATTCCTGTCATCTGCTCCACTAAAAAGAGCTATAAAAAGCCAAACTCATTCACGGCATAAAATGTAGCTCTGCATCATCATTGCTACAGGCTGGAAAAAGCCAGAGGGAGTCAGTATTGTCTTGTTGACTTCCCTAAGCAACATCTGTTTAAAAACAAACAAACAAAAAAACCCAAAAAACTCCTGCAGTCAGCACAACTGCCTCAAGCCCAGCTTTTGGCTGACTGAGCACATAGTCAGGTTTGGGGACAGAGCTGGGGCTCAGGGGGACATGGCTGAGCTGACCCAAGAGACATGAGTGTCACCCTGGCCACAAATCCCAGTGCAAACTGTCTGCATCCCGCTGGCACACAGCCTCACCATGGCTCAGGGGGCAGGGATTGGCCGGGGGTGTGCGATCACAGAATCCCAGAAGGGTTTGGGTTGGAAGGGATCTTTAAGATCATCTTGTTCCAGTGCCCTGCCATGGACAGGGATGCCAACTTGTGGAAAAGCATGTGGGAAAAACAGACAAGGGTAAGCAGGGTCAGATACACGGTCTGGGGATTCCAAACACCACCTCCAGGTGAGACTAGGAGAGGACTCGGGTGACAGAGAATTGTATGATAAAATAACTTCTTTGGTTTCTTTCTTTAGAAAACATCTTTCACATGTGGTATAAATACAGGTAGTTAAGAAATAAATTTCAAGTGAGCTGTACCAGTGAGTTTGGGGTATCCTCCCCATTCCTGTGCCTCAGCAGCAAACTCTCTTCTCAAACAAAAGCATGACAAAAAACTGCAAGCAAATCCTCTGTTGAAGATACTGTAAAATTACTAAAACCCCCAACAAGCCCAAATTTACACAGTTTAAAACAAAGCCAAACAGTTTTCTATAAAGGGGACCATGTTCTTCCCCAGAAATAATGACCCTGGATGCAGGTTTTTCTTCTGATAAAATATTAATCCTTGCTGAGGTCTGGAAAATCAGTGCCCAGCACCTGGTGAGCTTCCAGGACCCACCCCTGCTGCTGGCAAGGGGATGCTGCTGCTTACATATTCCATCCCATCCCATCCCATCCCATCCCATCCCATCCCATCCCATCCCATCCCATCCCATCCCATCCCATCCCATCCCATCCCATCCCATCCCATCTCATCCCATCAGCAGTGACACAGCTGCCATGGCATGATGCCACTCCATCATTCATCTCTCATGCTGCTTTTCAAGTTATGTTTGGAAAGATGAATAAATTAATGAAGCCTCAGAAGATAAAAACCAAAACAAAGAGCACCCAAAAAGTCCAGTCCATGCTCTCAGGGCAGCTGGAAGCGCTTGCGGACCTTCTCCTCGATGGAGTGGAGCTTGACCACACGCAGTGCATCCAGCAGCTCCTTGGTGACTTCAGAGTCCTCCTCCTTCTTGTGAGTGAGGAAAGCCCGGAATTTCTCCTGGATGGCTGCCTTGGTCCATGCTGTCTGCTTCTTTGGAGAGCGCTCCAGGATCTGCTGCAGGCGCTTCAGCTTCTTGACGGGGATGTTCTGATACACCACAAAGTCTATCATGGCTTGCTCGCAGTCATCATCTTCTGCAGCTGGTGGGGGAAACAGCCCAGGGGTTAAAGGGACACGGGACAGCAGGGCACAGCCCTGCCAAGGCTCTCTGTGGGACATCTGCCCAGGGAGCTGGTGAGTGCCCCAGGCCTGGAAGTGTTCAAGGCCAGGTTGGATGGGTGTTGGAACAGCCTGGTCTAGTGGAAGGCTGAACTTCCTATCAGTGATGCACCCTGCACGGGGCAGTTGGAAAACAAGGTACGTAGGAAAGTCAATAGGTACATTCGCTTTCTACAACTTCTGTAGAAAGTCAATGTACCTATTCAATGCTCCTCCCCATCAGGGAATAGAGGAAAAACACAGACAAATCTGAAGCAATTGCAGTAACTATTTACACATTCTTTCTTCTGAAAGTTTCTGTTTTCCCCCACAGATTTGTAAACCTTGTAACAGGACCAAACCTAACCACAGACCCAATCAGGGCGCTGGGATGGGGCAGATCTGGCCTCACCTGGTGGAAGCTGCTGGAGTGCATCCAGAATAAGGAATGAAAACAGAAAGAATTTTCAAGAGGCCAAGGCCAAAGGATTACTTAATCAAGGAGAGATTAGCCCAGTTTCATGCCATTGCAAACCGTGAACGGTTTCACTGGCTATAGTGGGGTGGGTTGAGCTCCACTGCTCAGGCTCTGCCTCTCCGGCAGGCTCGGCTTGATGATGAGCAGATCCCTGTGTGCCTCCTGACAGGAATCATAATAAACTGGGGTTAAAAAAGCCCTTCAGCTCCCATTGCTGGGGCCTCCTCCCTCTATAAGTACCTGCAAAGGGCTGGTGTGGCTGCAGGGCCGTGCTGTCAGCACTGCTCTGACCTGGCCATCCCCCACCCCGGGACTGCATCCCACTGGTGACGGAGCTTTCGAGTCTCTGTGTCAGGATCACACTCCTGGCAGGGAACTCATGGTGTGAGTCAGGCTGTGTAAGGAGAAATCGCTGTGCTGGTGGTGCCAGGAGAGCACAGAAAGGTGAGAGCTGCCCGGGGGGGAAGCCTCCACGTTCCCTTGCCACAGAGGAAAACCTTTTAGAACCATGGGATGTCCTGAGTTGGAAGGGACCCACAAGGTTAATTGAGTCCAAGTCCTGGCCCTGAGCAGACCACCCAAAACCCCCACAACACTCCTGACAGCTTTGGCCATGACCACTTCCCTGGGGAGCCTGTTCAGTGCCTGACCACCCTGTGGGTGAGTTTCATTAATGCTTTTCTACCAAGCTTCATCCTGATGAAAGAATGACATTCTTTCACTCCAGAACAACCTCCCCTGGATGTGATGAGGTCCTCATTGCTTTTCAGATTATCAGGACATGGCACTGTGATAATGTCATCCAGGCTCATTTTCCCATTAAAGGTTGGACCAGATAAAATTTCAAAGTCTCTCCTATCTTGTGCTCTTCTATGGCTTTATGACTGATTATATTTTTGGAAGCATAAGGGTGAAGCTTTATGACTGACTATATTTTTAGAAGCATAAGGGTGAAGGGACACTGCCATCCAAACCAGTCACATGAAATTAGTTTTCCATGTCTGGATCCTCAGGGTGGAGCAGGTGGTTCCAAACAGCTTCCAGCCTCACCTCAACTAGCATCAGGCCCTTGGGATGGTTTTGGGGGCCCTTGAGGTGTTTTTTCAGTCCCTTTCTCAATCCCTAACCTGGGGAGGGAGCATGTTACAAAGCACCCTCGGAACCGAGCCTTTTTCTCTGCCCTGCACCTCTCCCCTGTTCTTTTGCAAAGAAAGGTTGAACCAGCTGGTCCTTGAGATCCCTTCCAAGCTGGGATTCAGGGATTCTCTGATCTGTGCCCATTGGCTGTTCCTGCCCAAGCCTGCACCTCTGCCATGGCTCAGCACTACGTCTGCACCGTCAAGGTGACGTGTTTGACACCACATCTCCTTTTACACCTGATGGGTCAAAATCCACCCAACACCAGCTCCAATGAACCTTGGGCTCTGCTCCACCCAACCTGCACGAGATGTGGCTGCCATAAAAGTTTCCAGAAAATAGGTGCAGCCAGACAAAAGGAGTGCAGGAGCTGTGCCAGCAGCCAAGCTGGGTGCCTCAGCTGCTAAAACTATCCCCTGTCCCAGCACTCCCAGTTGTCCCTGGAAAGATCCAGCAGGATTTCACTGTCAGCTCTTTGTTCTCACTGTGCAGTGACTGTTGCTTAAGTCCAGCACCCTGTCTTTGCTCTATGGGACTGACACTGGACAGAGATGAAGTGAGACAGACTATTTTAACCGTAATTATTATTAATTATGAATCACTCCATGCTTTTACAAGCCATTTCACCTCATTTGCATCTAAGTAGGAGAAAGTCATGAAGAAGTTTGCCCTCACCCTGGCAGCATCAGTCTTGGCACGCTGTGCCCGTGGCTCACCTGGTCCCTCTGTGCTGTTGCCTCTCCCTGGTCTGCAGGAGGTGCAGAGGGTGTCGTGGTACCTGTTGCCCGGCACGTTGGTCACCTTCCCCTGCTTCTCACAGTCCTGGTGTGGCTGGCATGGATTGGTGCCAGAGCTGGAGGAGAAGAAGCCGTAGGGGCAGTCATGGCACTGGGTGTCCTCAAAGGGGGTACCTGTGAGTGGGGACACAACAGGACTGTCAGTGACAAGCTGGCACAGGAGCAATCAGCAGCTGGGGAGGGATGTCAGACACCATCTGAGCATGAAGGGAAGTTTTGGAAATGATCACTGCCAGCATCTCCCCTGGGAATTGCATGTCCTCTTGTGGGGCAAACAGCAGTGCTGCCCCACTGTGCTGATAAATTGGCAGCAGCCCACAGACGTGAGAGGACAACCAGAGGACATCTCATCTACTGTGAAAAGGCCACCTCCCAGGCAGGAGCCCGCAGCCAGGCTGGTGGCTGAGCTGCCAAAGCAGCCCTTTGGTTCCAGAGCCCTTTTCCCCGAACCAGAGGCTCCCGACCAAGTGAAAGTAAAAGTCTCTGTGGAGGGGAAAGCTCAGCTGCCCTTGGCCACGCTGTCACTGCTCCCCTGGCTCTGGGTCAGCGCTCCCCTTGTGTCACAGGGCTGATGCCACACGGGCAGGATTGCACCGAGCAACATTCCCGTTCCCTGGGAGGGGAGGGAAGGGCTGGGGGGGGAGTGGGGTGCAGATTTCCCACCCCTTTCACCTCCTCCTCACAAATCAAATTACAAGCAAATTCTACGTGTTGCCACCACCTTTAGGCTTTCCCAGGAGTCTGATCTTTCAGGTCCCTCCCAGCCCAGGCCATACTGTGATTCTGAGGCACAGCCACAACCCCCAGCATCTGAGCCACTATTTACAAATGGGAAATCCCAAAGAAATTGATTTGCCCAGGGGGATCAAACAAGGATCAAAGCCCTCATCCAACCCAAACAGCAGCAAACTCTGCCTACAGCCCCCAGCCCACACCTTCTCCATCCAAACACCAGCAGTGGCAGGTCCAGGGCTCTGCCCACCACCCTGGACACTCAGTCCTTGCTGTGGTGTTCAGGTAGCTGGGCTGGGGGACAACCCTCCCCACACAAGAAGCCATTTGCAAAAAATAAACAATAATAACAGAAAAACAGCTTCTCCTCAAATGCCCAGCTTGCTTGCATGGCTCCTCAGTCCTAAAGCCAACCCTCCAGAAAAATTTCATGTTTAATTTCAAAGTGCTTCCCTGTAGCGCTTGGAGATCTTCTTCCCCCTTTGCTGTGTTACTCCATTTTGTCATGTCCTATGGAAAATTAAACTCCAAATCTCAATCATAAACATCAGCTGAAGTCAGCAGATATTTTCCCTCTGGTTGGTGAGCCTGGAGCTCTTCTGTGCCACACATGGAAGGACTTCAAAAGACCTCATGCTTCAAAAGCCTCCATATCTCAAAAGCTCCATATCTCAAAAGCCTCCCTGCTCCAAAGTGTGAAGCAAGATACTGCTGGGTTTGCTGGTGCTGCCCACACTGGTTTGCTGTCCCCTGCTGTGGTTTCCAGGCAGAGCCTGGTCCTCAGTGATTGATGAGTTTACACACATTTGGAGCAACTAAAGGACCAGAGAAATTTGTACTGGGGAAACAACAGGAGAATAAATGTCCTAAAATACCCTGGGACTTAGATCACACAAGGAGATGGAATCTCACACTCAGGAGTCAAAGCAAAGCTGGTTTTGTGGATTTGGAACCTGGCTGCGTGTCCACTGTGTGTTTTCAACACAGCCTCTCCAAACCACTGAATGAAAAACCACAGAACTGCCCCAGAGCTACACAAATTCCCCAGCCCTGGCCTTACATCATCAGCCACCTTCTCCAGCCTAATTAATCAGCATTCTCAGCTCCCGGGCTGCCTATGCAAGGAGAAGGGAGCTGATGAATGGTCAGGAGCAGCTTGGACCTTCCCACCTGCCTGTGCAGAAGGGCCCGTGGCTCCAGGGATGGCCAAGTCACAGCCTGGCCCTGCCTGCTGTGGCAGCTGAGGCGGGTAGCCGGGATTGACACATCCCAGCAAAGTGTGCTGCTGGGGATTTCAAAAGCTTTCAAAGTGATAGCTGGGGAAAAACCCAAGTAAATTCCTCCTTGGAAAAGAAGCAGGAGCACGCTGGCAAGGATGGCACTGTGCCACTACCAGAGCTAAAAGGGAATCTGTCAGGCTCTGGGCAAGCATCGGCTGCTGTTTTTTGGCTGCTGTATTTTTTCCTTGATTTTTATCTCCCGCGGAGATCTTGGGGCGTGACAAGAGCCGTGTGAGGATGCACAGCGCCGTCTTACTTACCCGGCTTCGCAACGCCGGAGCCCGGCGGGCACTGGGAGTGCCTGATGCAGAGCTCCATGTTGGAGTAGTAGCCCTGCTGGCACTGGCAGGCGCGGTTGTGCGTGGCATTGCACTGCTGCACCTCCAGCTGCTTCTCCCCGCAGATGACATTGCAGTAGCGGCACCTCTCCAGGTAGTTCCAGTACTGAGTGTAGTGCAAATCCGGGCAGGGCTCGCACTTGGTGGGTCTGTCCCTGGAGCAGTGCTGTGCCACGAAGGTCCCCGGCGGGCACTGCTGGCAGGTGATCCTCTCCCTCGTCACAGCATCCTTCCACTGGTACGTGGGCTGGGCACCGCAGGCGAGCTCAGCCAGCAAAAGGAGGAGAGGGGGGAGCATCCACTACGGCAAAGACAGCGCAGAGAGCCCTCAGCTCATCCCCAGGCAGAGGCGGGAGCAGCAAACGCGGCTGCTGCTGTTACAGAACTTCTTATTGTTGTAGATACAAGAAATCGCTCTCCCTCCCTGTGCTGTTCCCAGCCCAAGCACCAGCTGCTGCCCTCCTTTGCCATCCCAGCTGACAGAACATCCTTCCCAAATCCATTTGTGATGCTTTCAGAATCCAGCTTCCCTCATTCAAACCTTGGAGCAGCTCCAGCACAGTGCCCTCTTTCACCCCACTCAGTTCCCCACCACTGCAGTAAAAGACACCTTTGCAAAGCAAGAAGCAGAAGGGCTGTTTTCCAAAGCATGCTCCCTAGGACCTTTAACACTTTTTTGGAAGCCCAGATGCTCTGGCTAGGACTGAATCCCGGAGCTTGCTGATCCTCCCTTTCCTTTCCAAAGCCCACGTGCCCAGCCTGACAAGCAGAAGATCCATTACCTTGGATGGATGCCTCAACCTCGGCACGTGGCAGGATGGCATCGCTCCGAGGGCTTCCGAGCGCCGGGATCAGGAACCTGGGGGGACAGAGAGGGTTCCTCAGGGGCTGGGCCGGAGCTCCTGGATGCAGCAGCAGTTCAACCCAGCCGGCCAGGGTAAAAACAGAGGGAGATGGGGAAGGGCTGATAAGGAAGGGCTGTTGGGAAGACTGGGTTTCCTCGCCTGTTTCTTCCGAGTCAGCCCTTCCTCCGCGGGAGATTTCGGCTCTCCCCAGCGCAGGGACGGAGCGGAGCCTTATAGCGGCTGCGGTGGGAGGCTCGGGCACCCCCGCATCCACCCACAGCCAGTGGAATCATGCAGGGAGGAAACCACCCCCCAGCCCACCGCAGCCGAAAGGGAGCAGGAGTTGGTGGGGAAGCAGCAAGGCCTCCCTTTCCTCCCCTATCCCAATCCCATCCCTCGGGACCGGCTCCGCTCACCGCACCTCCGCCTCGCACCTCCGCGCCGCGCCGCCGGCAGCGCCTTTATAGACCGGCCCGTAGGAAAGACCCCTCTTGGGGAGGTGACATCGTGACATCGCTGCTCCATCCCGGCCCCCCCGGCTCCATCCCGGCCCCCGAGCCCTTCCCGGTCCCCCGCCGCGGCGGCACCGGCGCCCTCGCTCACCCGAGCGCCGCTTTCGCTCTCGTTTCTGCAGCTGCCTCTAAAAGTGAAGCTTTCAGAGCAATGAGGTTCGTTTACCTGTGTGGAGGAAGGAGGCGAGTGGGAGTCCCATAGTTTTTCAAAGCTCTTTAAGTTTTACAGGGGGTTGGCGAGGAATCGTTTTCTGGCAGGGGGAAAGGCAGGGAAATTCCCTTCCGAACGTTCTGTTCCCCGGCTGTAAGTGCCACAGAACTTCCCAGTAAGAGCAGCTGCCTCCCGCTGGGAGTTTGCCCCGACAAAGGCAGCCCCGAGGGGCCGATTCTGGCTGTGGCTGCGGGCAGCGAAACCAGCGCTGTGGGGAGCATCCCTCCGGCCCTGCCCGGGGCTCCGGGACCAGACCCCATCCCACTCCCCCTCCGAGGGCACTGACCCTGCCAAAACAGCCCCATCGCCAGTGCCTGGGCTCTGCATTCCTAAAGCTCCGAGCTTCCACTCTCTCCTTTCAGGAGCACCGAGATTGACACCGCCTCCAGCTGTAACACTAAACACGGGTGCCTTTTGTGGCACAGCAACATCCAGCAGCTAAGGAGGTCAGCACTTAAATCCCTGACAGGTGACAGTGCCCTAAGTCTTGGACCCCAAGGATTCAAATGAAAACTGAACTCAGCCTTGCAGGTACAGCCTTGGCAGACCATGTGCTGCAGTGTCTCGTTCAAGACATGGGACTCCTGCACTTTGTCCTGCTCTGTCTCACCAAATTCCCTCTGAGCAGACATTGCTGAACAGTCAAAACCAGAGCAAATGCTCAAAAAGCAAATGCAAGTCTCTGCAAGGATGACAGAACCACAGTGAGGACCTGAGAGGATGTGGAGGTTTTTCTGCTTGTGAGTCAGCAGCCAGCTCCTCTTGCAGATCACTACAGAGAATTAACAATTCTGTATCTGCCTTCTGCCTCTTGCCTCCAGCTTTCAGCCACTGGGGCTGTGGATGGAGAATCTCATGGACTTTATTCTGAACACTCTTAAAGATCAGACCTACAAGAACTAAACACACCAGTCACCAAGAAAATCAAACCCAGTTCTCCACTACCCAGAAGGAGAAGGAAACCCCAATGGTCAGAAAGAATCCAAAGCTCCTTCCAGTAAGATCAGTTTCCACCCACCTTGGTTAAAGAAAATTCTCTGTCTCCAGCAAGAGCCAGGGAGGGGGGTCAGTACTACAGTCCAACAACAGGGTCTGGGCTGTGTTTATTTGCACTTTACTCAGAACAGGTGATGGGCTGATTTTCACAGGCCACTCTAAAGTGTTTTTTCACTTTACTGCTCATTTATCTCGATCCCCTGTGGCTGTCCAAAGTAATCCTGATGATCTGTAACTCATTTTGACAATAATCCCTGAGCCAAGGACTGCTGCTTTGTCAGTGTGCATCAGCTCAGTAATTAATCAGCGAATGTCTCAGCCTTGCCCTGGTACTGAGGCACAGCCCCTGGATGTTTTTTTGGGTGAAACTCACCACTAGACTGGACCCAGTGGAAAGCCCTGCTCTGGGCTCTCCCACCTGGGGAGTTTCAGTGGGATCCCTCTGCCTGAGGCTTGACCACCCAGGAGCCACAGAGCGTTTCCTTCTCCACAGGCAGAAACACAATTAAGTTTTCCATCCCTGGATTCCACATGGAGCCCACAAGGTGTATGAAAAACCAGCAGGTGGTTACATCCTGAATGGCAGCTGCTGGCAGTCCCTGTGTCCCAGCCATGCCCCTGCTGGGATGGAAACTCTGAGTCTGCAGCTCCTTGCTGCACTGTGATGCCTCATCAACAGTTATTTTTGTTGTGAATTTGATAATGACAAAAATGTGTCAGATGGATGCTCCTAGAGAGCCAAACACCACGTTAATGGGACAGAAAGGGCTTCCCCAGACAACTTCCTCAGACTCCAACAGCTGGTGGAACAATGACCTTTGATTAATCTTTTTCTGTCTGTTCTTTTGTTGGTCCAACAAACCTCCCAGAATGGGTTTATAGGTCACTGCCTGATTACCAGAAAGCAGCAACACAACTCACTACTGACTGACCAGTGGAGGTAGCATGGAAAAGGAATTCAGCATCATATTGCCATGGCTCTGACTTCACTTCTCCATACAGGGCACAGTTTCACGCTCCAGGGTGTAAAACTCCAGCAAGCACCTTCCAAAACTACTTTTGCAAAATAAGATTTCTTGTTATATTAATAGAAAATTCTGTTAAGCAAAGAAATCCCTCATTTCCCATCAGTAACCACTTTGCCAGCCAGAGACAGGCTGTGTCTGGCTTTCACATTTCATCTTTTTCCTGATGAAAATTTTTCTTTGCAGGTTTTGGTTACTTTTGTGAGTCCTTTCAGTATTTTGGGGGGGAGAAAAACCAGCAGGAAAGGTTTGGTCAATGACACACCACAATGCTGCAGGTCTAGTCATAGCACTGCAAGGCAAGGGCAATCAAAAAGTCAGTGTCTACTTCCTTCATGATCTGTCAGACATGTGTCATTTGCTTCTGAAAATCAGCAAGGAGTGTCCAGGACAGGTTTCTCTCACACCAAGCATTAAGTAATTTGCATAAATTTTTCTAAGCATCTAAACCGGTACAGTTTCTGAAACAGTTTTCTCACTTTCTGTTCCTTATAATTAATTAACTGTCCTGTCTTTCCTTCTTGTAAATTCAATAAGTTTCAGATGACAGACAGCCCTGACTGCTGGGGACCCTCTTCTTCAAGGTCTCACAGAATCACAGCAGGGTTTGGGTTGAGAGGGACCCAGAGCTCATCCAGTTCTCCCATCCCCAGACCCATTAGTGTCCATCTGTCCTGCCCCAGCCACCGACAGCAGGGATGGATTCCTGGATCCACTGCAGTGCAATTCCCACTGCACCAGAAATCAGCACCAAACCCAAAACCACCCCAAACCAAAGCCATGTGCACTGGCAGATGGACTGGTGGGACAGTGGCATGTTTCAGAGCTTGTCTGGGGGGTTCAGCTGGTGAAGGACAGTGACTGTAAACCTCTTTCAGCAAGATAATCCTTCCTCTGAAGAGTAAGAGATAAAGAGGAGTCCCCTGGACAAAGGAATAGAATGTCCTGGGTGAAGGGAGAGAAAAACCCTCAGCAAATTTTCCCCTCAATGTAAGAAAGACAAGGAGCTACTGGAGAGGATCCAGCAGAGACCACAGAGATGATGAAGGTCCTGGAGCATCTCAGTTGAGGAGACACAGCTGAGCCTGGTCAGTCTGGAGAAGGCTCAGAGGGGATCTCATCAATGCAAATATCTCCAAGGGTGCCAGACTCTTTTTATGGTACTCAGCAACAGGACAAGGAGCAACAGCCAGAAACTAAAACTCAAGAATTTTCACCTGAATATGGGGAATAGCTGTCCATGGAGGTGGCAGAGCACTGGAACAGCTGCCCAGGGAGGCGGTGGAGTCTCCTTCTCTGGACATTCCAAACTCACCTGGATGCATTCCCATGTCCCCTGCTCCAGGTGACCCTTCCTTGGCAGGGGGCTGGACTGGGTCATCTCCAGAGGTCCTTTCCAACCCCAACCATTCTGAGACACTGAGATATTCTCAGCATTGTTTCTCTGCCCTGTCTCAGAACAGAGGATCCCCAGGCTGGAACAGTCCTCATATTAAAACAACTCCAGGAAAAGGCACAGCTTTAAAACTACTTTAGCTGAGAGGAAAAAACAGCATCATAATATTTGTCCCAGTCAACCCCTTTCCAAGCATGTGCGGCGAATCAACCCCACAATAATTTTCAAGTATTTCCTTCTGTCTTGCTGGTTCTGGCCACATTTTTGCAGCCCACAGGAGGTAATTCCCATCAGCAAACCCGACCTGAGCCGTGGTGTCACTGCCCCTGAGCACGCTCATGGCTGTGCTGTGGCTTCCCTCCAGTGGCACAAGCAGTCAGCTGCAGTTTCCTGGGAGAGCAGGCACTCAACTACTCACCAATAAATGACATTTTACTGCTCACTGCTCCCAGCCTCACTCCAAGTATTTGTCTGTTCATTTTTACAACACACCTGTATTTACGTAACACTTTTCTGTCATTTCCCCCACTCATATTTGAAACATTCAGGGCTTCATCTGCATTTTTTATTCTTGTTTCTATTCTGCACTGAATAGATACATGGCTAGAAGATAATGTTCACCCACAAACAAGACAGAATATATGATAGCCCAGAATTACCTCAATTCCTGCCTAAGCCTTTGTTAACTGTAAACAAGTAGAAAAGTTCCCATTTCACTGCCAGCAGCTCTGAGATTTGAAAGACACCAGGTTTGAATTCTACAACCAGGAGAAATAGGAAATTTTGTTAAAATGAGCTCACCTTTCAATTCTATTAATAAAATTTTATTAACATAAAGTTTTCCAAATTCCATTGATATGAAAAAAAACCTAGAGGGTACAACATTTCCACTTGCTCCTACCAGGACCATTAGGACTCAATATCCAATGTTTTTATATCTGGTTATTTTCTGTTTTTTTAATCTAACCAAATAAAATTTAGACAAAATCGTTTTATTTTACAGCCTAATTTACAGCAGCTACAGAAGATATAAAATTGATATAATTTTTTAGCTTAACCACTTATATCCACTACTCACAGAGAGTGGAAATATTAAGGAATTTTTTTAAACCCATCTAACTTGATTAATTTTAAAATTTTAAAATATTTAGCTCCTTCTTCTTCTTCTGGAAAGCAAATCAGGTAACAAGGCACATGGAATACCATCACTGAGTGAAGAATAAAGCCTCCTTA